GCTGCTGCTGAAGCTGACCAGTGCTGACTACAGGAAGCCCGAGGCAGAGTTGCTCTGCCCCGGGCTTCCTGGAATCAGCTGCTGATTGAGCCCCACATAAATCCAAACTGCTTCGCAGGCCGCAAACAAATGGGTTGCAGGCCGCATACGGGCCACGTGTTGAATAGCCCTGGTGTAGCCCTTTCTGAATTTTATTGTTATTAATGGCTTAGAGCTAGATAAGGCATGTTTAAGAGAACTGGATTTCTTAGTTATGATTTACACCACAGGTGGGGAACTCCTACTCGCAGGCCACACACTGTTCATCAGGGTTAGTTGCAGGTGGGCTGCCAGATGGTTTGTTTACTGGAACATCTGCAGACAAAGAGCTCTGCAGCTCCCAATGGCCATAGTTCAATGTTCCCAGCCAATGGGAGCTGTGGGAAGTGGCATGGGCCTGGCCACTGCTTCCTGCAATTCCCATTGGCTAGGATCAGCGAACCAGGGCCACTGGAAGCTGCAAGTGGCCATGCCTGGCAATGATCTGGTAAACAAACCATGTGGCAGCTTGCCAGGAGCTAACTCAGACAGAACCACATGGGGCTGGTGCACTGGGGGTTCCCATTTACACCATTCCACGATGCAGCCTCTCTCTCTCTCTCTCTCTCTCTCTCTCTCTCTCTCTCTCTTTTTCTGTATTTATTTAGTCTTTGCAAAATATGTGGCAATCACCACGTGTTGGGTAGATATAAAGCACTGGAAGACACCACTTGGCACATAGGAAATTATTTTTGTTTGCACTTCAGTTTGACTCATGAAAATATTCAGATATTTCTCTTCCTTCCCCATTCCCAGAAATATACTTCCTATATCCAAAGTATTTGTAGAAGAAGATCTTTCTTTAGGAAATCAGTTTTCTCTTTTATATTCCATTTTGAATCTTATTAACATTTTACTTTTTACAGTAGAAAAGTTTGTGGCATAAATACATCTAGGGTTCTACTTTACTAACAATAAATACTGTTCATATATTTCGGAGGGATAGCTGTGTTAGTCTGTATCTGCAAAAACAACGAGGAGTCCTGTGGCACCTTAGACTAACCAATTTATTTGGGCATAGGATTTTGTGGGTAAAAACACTTGGTCAGATGCATACAGATGGATACATCTGACAGAGTGGGTTTTACCTATGAAAGTTTATTCCCAAATAAATCGGTTAGTCTAAGGTGCCATAGGACTCCTTACTGCTTTCCACTGTTCATATGGACTAGGGATGTTAAATTCAGATTAATCAGCTAATCAAATATTCAATGCGGTTTGCATCGATTAGTTGATAAGAACGCTTCCGCCCAGGGCTGTTGCTATACTTCAAAGGTGAAAGCGCTGTGGGGAGCCCAGGGCCAGAGGGGGACTCAAGCAGTCCCCTGCAGTGCCACATGTAGCCCGGGGCTAGCAGGGGAGTCCCCAGCTGTCCCCGGGCTCTACCCGGCACTGTCGCTTTGAAATGCTGCGTGGAGCCCTGGCCCCAGGCTGCATATGATGTTTAAAGCGGCAGCACCGCATGGAGCCCAGGGTCTGGCACCAGGGTCCAAGTGGCACTGCCGCTTTGAAGCACCCTCCCTTCTTCCCTCCCCACCCCTTGCTGCCTCTTTCTGATAGAGACAGCAAGGAGGTGGGAGGAAGCAACTAGTCAACTAGTGTGTCCACTATCTGATAAGCATTTACTTAACTGGACAGTCGATCACATCCCTAATATGGACAGCCTTTTTTTCCTGTTTTCCTGAATAGTGTTTACTCTCGATTTGAGCTAAGAATAATTGCTCTCCCTATTTCCACAAAATTTAAAAATTCAAATGCTTCAATTATTTTGCTGGTATAAGCCTGATTCTGAAGGAAACATCTGTAACTCTGCAACTCAGTTGAGACAGAGACAAAAGTAATTGAGAGATGTAATTCCTTGTTGGCAGCGAATGCTTCGGGTTCCTGTGTGTCTGTATCTTGTAGACTGTGATGTACAGGATACCCATAACATTTGTAGAGAGTTATGAATACTAGACTTGTTCAGAATGGATTCAGTAACATGACTCCTTACTGAATCTCAAAGGGTCGCCTCTCCTGTACACTCTTTGTCATTATAGTTTCTGGCATTTCCTCAGTTGTGGATGGACTTGTTTCAATGAGGATTTGAAAGATTTGGCTCATACTAGGACATAAATCTAGGCCATCTCAGCTCACAGCAGAGTATAGTGGTTTTTCATCATGTGGCCCATGAGGTTCACAGACAGTATCTAAGATTTGCAAAGGAGCCCTGTCACGGGGCGGGACTCACCGCTGTGGCACCTCCTGCTGGCAGCTCCAGGGAATTAATTTCTTTAACAGCAGGGTACCTCCTTCTGGCAGGTGTCTCCCTCGTCTGAGCACCACGCTGATATTCTGGACTCCCATTGCTCGCAGACCACTGTATCCTCTTTGTGACATTGCCCTCTGTCAATGCCCACTACAATGGTCTTTTACCCCCCTTCCAGGGGTGAATCAACTGTCCTCAGTTTCACCTGCTACTGTGGCTCAAAATCTAGCTCCTCTGCCTCAGGGGTAAACCGCAGTCTATGGGCCATGATCCCCTTCCGGGGGGGCGGGCATACCACCAGTTCCCAGTCCAGTTTCACCTACCATTGTGGCCAATGGTGGCCCTAAAACCTAGTCCCTTTGCCTCAGGGGCAAGCCACTATATTTGGTGGCACGGTGTGGTATAAGGTGAAAGGGAGGAACCCAAGCCCTCCCACTACCCTGGGTCCCAGCATAGGGACCCTCTGGTGGCAGCTTTGTCCTGCTCTCCTTCACTTCCTTTTAACTGCCTCCTGTTCCCTGGTACACTTCCCTATGACCTCTGCAACTAGCTTGTGTCAAGGCCTGTAGCCTGGCAGGTAACAAGCTGGAGCCTCCCTCTCTCTCTGGAGCCCCTGAGGTTGCCCAACATTGCTCTTTAAGGTGCTCCCTCTTGGTAACCAGTTCTGCATCCTGCACTGGTCAGGATCCAACTGTTCACTCTCTGTTGAACAGCTCCTTATATTCTGAGCTGCCTCAGCAAGCTGCCCTCTGATTGACTCCAGATTTTAATCCCTTCCAGCCAATGTGGGGGCAGCCACCCCACCACATGCCCACATCTCCATTTGAAATTTTGTAGAGGTCTGCAAATGAAAAAAAAGGATGAAAAACATTGGCATGGTAGATACATCAGGTCATGTTAAATTAAAATTGCAACAAATAGCACCTCAGTATGTTGAAAACACTCTAAATCCACGTATTCATGTAGTAGGCCTGTTCTTCCCCATGACCCTAAATGAGCCCCTAAGGTTTATTACAACTGATGTAATAACTAGGGATGTTAAATTGCAGTTGTCTGGCTAATCATGTAGTCGCTACAATTTGGTCAATAAGGGCCAAGCCACCCATGCTGCAGCTCTGTATTTTAAATGTAGGAAGAGCTGTTAGGCTCTTGCATAGGCACAGTGTCCTGGACCAGCCCAAACCGGGATTGCTTGGTCCTGCCTCGCACTGAATCCAGCAGCACCTGTTCATGGCAGCCAGAGCTGGCCTCAGACTTGCACGTGACCAACTCGGACTGCCCCAAACAGGGTCTGCTTGGCGGCAGCACCCCCTGTCTGCAGGAAGGCCTCTACGATAGAGGGAGCAGGGGATGGGAGGCAGCACCAGGGAGATTGTGCTGGGGGGAATCAGCTTTTAAGCCACCTCCCTCCAGCACTAGCTCCTGTGCACCGCCCTTCTCCCCCCGCAGCCTCTTACAGAGGCAGAAGGGGGAAGAGAAAGTGAGTAGTCAATACTCCACTCAACTAGTCAACTACTCGCTGACATCCCTAGTAATAACGTAAATAAATAAATATTCCTCTCACCTATGACCTGTCATGAAACATAAAAATATTAAAGAGTAAAAGTATATACAATCGCACTGGATAAATGTTCAACAAAAGGTCATTTGTATCTGATGCTAAAACTTTCTGAGTGATGATTTATCTCAGATTACTTCCTCCATATCTAGCAAATAGGGATTGGCCCTGGGCATTTACAAGAGTGAAAGCAATGAGCACTCAAGCCAAATATGAAGTAACATCAAAAGGTCCATCTCCACCATCAGGGTGTGATTACTATAAAAAATGAGGATGGGGAAGATAAAACAGAAGGATAATGCTTTGGATCCTCCAGGTTCCAGTAGGTCAGGGTTGAACCCTCAATGCACATCCCAGTCAGCAGCACCAACTTTCTAATGTGCCTTCCCCGATGTGTGCACCACACTCAATCCTCCTGGTCCCACCCTAGAGCCTCCTGCATGCTGCATAATGCTGCTTCCCACAGCTCCCCTTGGCTGGAAGTGGCAAACCACAGTCAGTGGGAGCTGCAAGGTTCCTTGGCTATGAATTCTTTTAAGTAAACAAAGTGGCACGGGCCCGCTAGCGGCTTTCTCAGAGCGGCCCTGCAACCCACTTGGAGAAACACTGTTCTAAGGTAGTGATTCCCAACTATGTTTCCTTGCCCTGAAGGGCTTCATTGAACCTTACATATTCAAAGAGAAAACTATCCAAAGAAATATAAAAATTGAAATTGTTAATCATACCTAGTATTTTCTCTTTGCAGCTCCTTGCAGGAGACTGGCCGTTTGGAGTTGAAATGTGTAAACTGGTACCCTTCATTCAAAAGGCATCAGTGGGCATCACTGTGTTAAGTTTATGTGCCCTCAGCATTGATAGGTGAGACCTATTTCATTGTTACAAAACTCTGTTTTCTTTAAACGGCCAACTTCTGCTTCGTGTTCAACTAATACTACAAGCAACAACGTAAAAAATTGTTTAAAAAGGTAACTGTGTAACCACTAAAAATCTTAGCAGTTACACAGTTATATACATGGCGGGCTCTGCAGTTTAAGGCTTAGCTTCATACTGCAGAGCCTGCAGTGAAGCCTCCCCAGGAGCAGGACTGGCAGAGACTGCCAGCTCTGCTCTTGGGCTGGGGAGACTGAGCTGCTGCAGCGAAGCCACCTCCCCAGGTGCAGTGCCAGCAAGGGCTGCCAGCCCCGCTCCTGGAAAGGCTTCACTGCAGACTGTATAGCCAGCTCTCAGAGAGCCACAGTGTGTAACCTGTGGCAGGAGGGCCAGGCTGGGCTGTGCTTGTCACAGACGGGCCGAGTGCAGCCAAATAGCTGCTCCAGCCTCTACCGGTTAACCCGTTAACTTTTTACATCCCTAGCATTGACTCCTATTTATATCAGTTTAACAGAGGGCAAAATTTAACTCGTAATCTAATAAGTTTCCCTGTTGATATTTAGGTATCGAGCAGTTGCTTCCTGGAGCCGCATCAAAGGTATTGGGGTTCCAAAGTGGACTGCCGTCGAAATTGTATTGATCTGGGTTATATCAGTAGTCTTAGCTGTTCCTGAAGCTATAGGTTTTGATATACTTGTTATGGAATACAAAGGAAAGCATCTTAGAATCTGTATGCTTCACCCCACACAAAAAACATCCTTCATGCGGGTAAGACATTATCTTTTTAAACAAGAGAATCCTTTTCCTTAATCAATACCTGAATCTAGTTTCCTCAACAATCTAAAAGTACAAAACTTCCTAGGTTTTTCTTGTCATTAATTATTAAATGAATTGTTTAGTAGAAGAGTTTATAGCAGAGGTGGGGAACTTTTTTGGGGGCTGGGGGCTGCCTACCCAGAAAAAAATCAGTCACTTGTACACAAGTGAGAAGCAAAAAAAAACAAAACAAAACCCTCACTGACTTGGCCCCAGACTGAGAAGGAGAAAGACATTCTCCACATTCTCTCAGACACCAGAACCTAGGGGGGCCCATCCTAGTAGATTTTGTGTGTTCCAGTCCTGCTGTGGATAGCAGGGGGGCTGGAGCACCAGTGTGGGCTCCCCAATGTGGGGACGGGAGGGCATGAGCCTTGGGGGCTGGATCCAGGCAAGCCGGGGGCCACTTCCAGCCCCTGGGCCTGAGGTTCCCCACCCCTGGTGTATAGAAACCTTTGTCGCTGACTTATGTTCTTATGACTTACTGTGTTGCTTTGGGCAAAGTCTTTAATCTCTGTTTCCTCATCTGTAAAAAGGGACAATGATGCTTTTATCTCATTAGTGCTGTTAGAAGGATTGATAAATCGTTAATTCAGGCTTGCAAAATGCTGAACTAATATGTTCTATTGTTTTCCCCCTTTAGCTTTACAAGACAGCTAAAGATTGGTGGCTGTTTAGCTTTTATTTTTGTTTACCCTTGGCCATCACGGCAGTTTTTTATACTCTGATGACCTGTGAGATGTTAAGAAAGAAAAGTGGAATGCAGATTGCTTTAAATGACCACTTAAAACAGGTAAAATATGCAATGAAAACACTGCTGAGTTTTCCATGAGATTACAGTAAAACCTTCACTAATCCAAACACCACATCATTAATGCACTCTGAAAGAACAGTCCCTGCGTTGTTTCTCAGGAAACATTTATGAGCAGTATTGTCAATCCCAGCTGTTCAAAAATTATAAGTCAGGCCCCCAAAATTATGAAATTGTCTTTAAAATGTTGACTCTTTACTAAATTTTGAGTTTTCTGCATTTTGCACCTGTAGAGTTCACATTTTTAAGCTTTTCTTGGCAGCACTGAGGTCTAGAAACTTTTTTATATGAAAGCTGATATTACAATGCATTCCAAGGACTCCAGAAGCTGGGATTTAAGACAGACACCAAATATTATGACACTCACAATAAAACTGAGACGAGGTAACATTGCAGTGCTGTAGTCAGGTATCAGCAAAAATCTTCATTCCAAAATATACTATTTTTACTAGCATACAATGAACAATCATCATAAATAACTAAATCTAAACTACATTTTTAAAATAAAATATATTTGCAGTCCTTGCTTTGTTAATTGTATGTTAGCTTGCATCATAGTTCACAATGCCATTAGTGTAAATAAGATATTAATGTATGTTTCTTGAGATCTTTAAAATTAGACCAAAGAGAAAAGTACTAGATAATATACAGGTGAAAACAATCTGTACCTTGAAGAGGGATGGACTGGATAACTAACTTTTCCACCTGTAATGCGATTGTACGTACTTTGAATTTTCACAGTTGATCAGTAAACATGATGGCTACATCTACCCTGCAGGCTTCTTGTGCAAGAACTGTTTTGCACAAGAGTGCGTCCACATTGCCAAGTGCTTTTGCGCAAGAGACATGCTTTTGCACAAGGGTGTCCATGGCAGTGTGGATGTCTCTTGCGCAAGAAAGCCCCGATGGCCATTTTATCCATAGGGGTCTCTTGCGCAAGAAACCCCTGTTGCCTGTCCACACTGCCTTCTTTTGAGCTATTGCGCAAGAGGGCTTATTCCTCGTGGGGAGAGGAATAACTCTTGCGCAAGAAGCCCTCTTTTCTGATGCTTTACTGTAAATTTACTTGTTCAAGAACGCGCGTGCAGCGTAGACGCTCCACAAGTTTTTGCTCAAGAACCGTCACTCTTGCGCAAAAAGCCTGCAGTGTAGATGTAGCAGATCAGGTTATAAATATGATTAGTTTATGAATAGCAACTACAATAGTTAAAGATCTCAAAATTAATTATTTTTTTAAATAAGATGTTCTAAACTTCACTTATGTACTACACTGGCATTTATTTTTTTAAATTCTACGGTATCATGTGTTTTGCTTTTAGAAGCGAATAACAAAAACTCGAGAGAAACTTTAACCCAGTTCCTTTCAATTTTGTTTTCAGAGACGTGAAGTGGCCAAAACTGTGTTCTGTCTGGTGCTTGTCTTTGCCCTTTGTTGGCTCCCCCTTCACCTAAGTAGGATTTTGAAGCTCACTGTATATGATCAAAGAGACCCCAATAGATGTGAACTTTTGAGGTAAGACATTTATAGTTGAATAAGATAAGGAAAATACCCACCCGGTATTAACATTGTATTCTCCCTAAGCATGCTTTTGTGTTTGCTTTCCCTGATGAAATGATTTTCTCTCGATGACTGAAGATCCTTTTGCTGTACACCCTATGCACTGGACATTTTTGGCATTCCTATTTTTTCCAGATTTACACAGACTTGGAAAGAACTCTAGTATTGATGACCCCAGGGGTTCAAATATCATGAGTCAGGCCCTCCAGTGTCATGGCTTTTTTAGAAATAAGGAGGTTTTATTACATTTCCTGTTGATTTGTATTCTGTTTTTTGAACCTTGGAGCACACTTGAGTCACATTTTCAAGTTTTTCTCTATGACCATTAAGACAAGAAACTTCGCTTTTAAAAAAATGAAAGCTGTGATTCTTATATATTCACATGACTTCTGGAGCCAGGGTTCCTAGACAGGAGACAAATATCATGAGACTAGCAATAAAATTGTGAGTTGTCAACAGTGAGCTTCTTTAAGAGGCTTTCCTCATTTCTCTTACAAAGCCAGAGGAGTCATGCACAAACAATGTGAAGCAACCCTTCCCCAATGAAGGTAACAAAAGACTAGGCCCAGGATTTGAACATGTGTACGTTAGAGATCTACTGTAAGGCCTATGTTGATGGGAGAGCACTCTTGTCAACCTAATTAGACCATCCTCAACAAGTGGCAGTAGCTATGTTGGCTGGAGAGCATATCCCACCGACATAGCACTGTCCACTAAGAATGTTAAAATGCAGTTATCAGGTTAATCGTATAGTCAATACAATTTGTATTGACCATATGATTAGTTGATAGGACTGCTCTGCAGAGCTGCAGTGGGAGTATCTCCAGGAGCCAGCTCGAGCTGGGACTGAGCAGTCCCACGGGGTTCTTGTACATTTCAAAGGCTGAAGCGCAACAGTGGGAACCGTCATGAATGGCGACTGCTTCAGTCCCTGCTCACGCTGTTTCCCCTCTGCCCTCCACCAGAGTTTATGCATATCGGATAGTTTGACTAGTTGCTTACATCCTTACTGTCCGCACCGACATTACTGTTAGTGTAACTTATGTTGGTCAGAGCGGGGGTTTTTCACATCCTCAACCAACAAAAAAGTTTTATTGACAAAAGTGCTTGTGTAGACACAGCCTAGGACTGTCCCATGACTGTGCAGTGCACAGTTACTAAGCAGCTACACCAGCAGCATTGGCTGAGCTGGCTCTGGGGGAGGGAGGAGAAGAAATGTCAGAGTGATCTGATGACAAATATGATTCTTTTCTTAATTCAAAGTTAAAGACTGACCTGTCATTCTCAGGATCTATTTGTTAAGGGGACTCTGTACGTCAGTGCAGTGTTTTCCCCACACGCTTCCCTGGGAATCGGCAAAGGGCATTCTGCTAGTCCAGAGATCTATGTGGAGGGACAGAGTAGGCTGTGTTTAAGGTCAGGGAGATACATATGATCCCCTTGTTGCAGCCCTGAGCTTCTGCACTGAGGTTGAACCAGTACAGTCCAAGGTGGAGCTGTAAGAGTGTATGTGACCATTTAACCAGTAAGCAGATGCTTAGCAGTTAATGGTGTCAGTTACACTCAACGTCCGGAGAAGGCGGCTTCACTGTGGCAGAGCAGCAAAGCCTCCTCCTTGGGAGTGGGGCTGCCAGCCCCTGCTGGCTCGGCTCCACTTCGCTCCCAGGCAGGAAGCTTCACTACCCCAAGGCCTAGGGATACAAGAGGGCCCAGACCTCTCAGCTGTCACCACTACTGCAGCAGCGGTGGCAGCTGGAGCCCTGAACACTTTGAACTGCGGTGGTGCAGCATGCTTCGGGCAATGCTAGGGCTTGTGAGCGGGTGTGTGACATGGCCCAGGTGGTGCTGAGGGCTGGCTGCCCCAGCCCTACCCCTTCTACCCCAAGCCCCGCCCCTTCTGCAGGCACGGAACAGGGCCCCAGCGAGGCTGTCAGACCCACTGAATTCATACCCTTACCCAGCGCTGCTGTTCCTATACTTGGTAGTTAATCATGGGAGGGCTGAGCCTGATATTTACAACTGTGAACTTCAATAAACATTATGAGGAAGTGGTGTATGACTCACATTTACTTTTCACACAGCTTTTTTCTTGTATTGGACTACATTGGCATTAACATGGCTTCGCTGAATTCCTGCATTAATCCAATAGCCCTGTATTTGGTGAGCAAAAGATTCAAAAACTGCTTTAAGGTAAGAGCCTGTATGTATAAGACTGCTTTTCCCCAGGTTAGAAAATGCCTTCTCTCTGAGGGTATGTCTACACTACCCTCCTAGTTCGAACTAGGAGGGGAGTGTAGACATACCCTCAGAGAGAAGGCATTTTCTAACCTGGGGAAAAGCAGTCTTATACATACAGGCTCTTACCTTAAAGCAGTTTTTGAATCTTTTGCTCACCAAATACAGGGCTATTGGATTAATGCAGGAATTCAGCGAAGCCATGTTAATGCCAATGTAGTCCAATACAAGAAAAAAGCTGTGTGAAAAGTAAATGTGAGTCATACACCACTTCCTCATAATGTTTATTGAAGTTCACAGTTGTAAATATCAGGCTCAGCCCTCCCATGATTAACTACCAAGTATAGGAACAGCAGCGGCTCCCCGCTTATGCTAATGAAGCCCGGGAAATTCAAATCCCGGGCTTCATTAGCAAGTGCGGTATGCATACATTACCCTCCTAGTTCGAACTAGGAGGGTAGTGTAGACATACCCTGAGTGAAATTCACTCCATGCAGAGGACCTGTGCCTCTTCAAGCAAGGACTTACTTACCCTTTGAGATTCAAATGGAACTTTAAAAATGCTTAGTACAGGCCTTCTGCACAAAGCCTGATCCTGCAAGATACACCTTATCCATGGCTAGATTTCACTCTTCTTGCACTATAAATTAATGCCTATTTGCCTTCTTGAGCTGAATCAATAATTCTCTCAATAGTCTGATGTGGTTTCATACATGATAAATCTTTATTTTCTCATGAGAATTCAGGAGGGCACTCTTCGGTCTTTATTTCTTTCATAGGGTGTATCTACACTGCACACGGATATCAAAGTAAGATATGCAATACGTAGCTCAAATTGTGTACCTTATTTTGATCTAATTTCAAAATAGTGTATTTCTATAAAGCACCAAATTTCTAAATAAACTTCTATTCCAAAACATCCTTTAACCCTTGTGGAACGAGGGTTACAGGGATGTTGGAATAGCAAGATCATTATTTTGAAATCTATTTCAAAATAACAGGCTTGTTTAAAAGATGCAAAATAGCTATTTCGGGATACCTCTGGTATCCCGAAATAGCGCTGCAGTCTAGACGTACCCATATAGAATGAGCCTTAAAACTTCATGAGACCAAAGACAAATTATTAGGGCCCCTGAAAAACAACAATTCTGTTTTATGAAAAGTTTCAAGGTTTCAAAGGATATCAAGGACTTTAGCTATATGTGGAATGAATCAGAGACCTTTCAAAAACTGTGAAAGAGCCCAACCTACCTGAGAATAGCTACATGGTTAGGGAATTTCACTTGTACTTAGGTTCAATCCCAGCTCTGCAGGTGAGTAACCTAATTACCAAGCTAGTGGGTCTCCTCCATCCCATGTAAGTCCCCTCATCACATAGTTATGCTTTGGTGTGTCTCGTTATTTCCCTCTTTTTTTTCTTCTGCCCCTCTCAGACCAAAAAAACCTTGTTCATAACATTGCCATCTTGACAAAACTTCATTAGTCAAATAATTAAAACCGGCTGTACTTTTTAGATATTAGTCTTATTTCCCTTATAATATCAGATATTATTTGTCATTATTAATGACATTTGTGTCAAGCTTCACCTTTGTTGTGATCTATCTATAATCATGGCCCAATTCTGAAAGCTCTCCCCACAAGTGGACCGCCCATTGAAATTTTAAGAGTACGCAGCATCAGAACAGACTTGTAGAATCAGGCTATAAGTTTGGAAACTGCTGGTCAGCAGAAAAGAAAAATTCCATGAGGCAAGGAATTTTTTACAGTTTACAAGTTGTCCCCCAACTCCCACAGACCAGTCCTGCATTGGCAGAGGGATTGGATGAAATAATTTCTCTTTCCTGCTTTAGAATGAAACAAAGTAGGAAATCACACAATTTTTTATAAAAATCACAGACAAGTGTGACAGGTGCACTTAGGTATTATAACAACCTTAGACATAAAACTAAAAGAGGGGTTATAAGAAGAATGAAAATACTAAATCTTTCATTTCATTTCCAGATACCACAACAATTACAGGTCACATTCTACCCAAGCATATAGGGGATAGTACATTGTTTTTCCTGTAGTATAACAGAGTTATAATGGCCCCTATGTTCTCAGTCAAAGATAGATAATGGCAATATTACAATGCATTATGCAAAAATGTGTATAATAGAAATGTATAAAATCATTATTATTTTTATTTAAAACAGTCATGTTTGTGTTGCTGGTGCCAATCCAAAGACATGTTGTCCCTGGAGGAAAAACAATCCTGCTTAAAGTTCAAAGCTGATGATCATGGATATGATAATTTCCGTTCCAGTAATAAGTACAGTTCTTCATAAAAAGTTTATCCTCTGAAATTAATTTCAGTGTCTTTGAGTCTGACTGACAATTGCTGTTGTAGATTAAGAGAGTAGAACTTTTGAAAAATCTAGTTTTGTGTTTGCATGAATAATAAAAAATGGATTGCCCACAGTTACATAACATTCATAATGATGCATGGTATCATTAGCCATATGCAACATGATGATCATCAGCAGAAACAACTAATTATTAAAGCACTTAAACTCTTTTGAGTCAACAATCCCAGGTCATCCTCACTTCCGTAATATCAGTCATTAGTATTCATTATAAGCGTCTTAGGACCTGGAGTCACAATTATTACTAAATAGTAAACCATATATTTTGTTGAGTGGATCAGACAAAGTAATATTGTATATAACTCTATGTATTATATTTGTAAAGCAGATTGTGTGTCAAATTGTTTTTTTTAATCAAATCCAAAATACTTCATAGCACAGTTTAAACAACAATAAAGTACTTTTATCAGGAATATTACACTACTAGCCGAAAACAATATTATATGGATACACTCATGTTAAAAATCACACTTCTAAGTATTTTTACCTACTATTGTTACAAGTAACATTTAAGGTCACGGCAAATTTTGTTCTCCCATATCAGTTTGTTTAGTAATCGTCCATTTCACTGTTTCTCTGGTTATCTGATATAGTCTTTCAGATAAGAGAGGAGAAAAACATTTTAGATGGTGGCAAATTGGACTGCAGAAGCACAAAAATTCTGGATAGTAGTTGAAATTAGTGCGTTTTTTTAATTGATTAGATTTCAAGTTTACAGCATCTGTTTTAAATAATGGACATTCAAGTAATTGACTGTAGCTTAGCCAAGTTTATTTTTCTAGAGATTACAAATTAAAGTGATTTCTCTTGGGAAAAATCAGAAGCAATCTAAACAATAGTTGGAGAGGGTCCCTTAATATAGCAGATAGTACAAAATTTAGAAGAGGTAGACAGAGCATTTTGGGTTCTAATTGTACTTCTGCTAGATCCTTAAGAAAATATTTACAACTGTACTTAAAAGGCTAGTATGGGCTAGTACTACATCATACTGTCATTCCTGATATTGTTAAGAAAATGTTTTTCTTTCCATGTGTTAATAGCATGTGTGATTAGTTTTGACTTCTGTAAATATTTAGTGAAGCATAATTACATGTAAGATATTAAAATATGGGCAGGACCCTATACAAATCTAGAGAGATTAAGATGCCTATAATAAACATGATGTGTAATGCCAGGAGCACCTCACATTTTGTGTATACATGGCACAATAATGCTTGTCTTGGTAACATTTTAATATAAGCAACTCAGCTTAGTAAAAACATCATTCTTTGACTTTGTATTTCCAATTGATGTCTTGAAGATTCCCCAAAAACTTATTAACACATTTTAAGCAGTAATTTGTGAGCTTTTCCTACAAGTATATACAGAAAACATTTTAAGAATGAGAAATAATCATCATAATTTAGTATTTGTCAAACTTGGGAATTTTCTTACCTTCCAAATTTCAAGTGAATTCCTCAATGTTCTTTCCTTCAGTAACCTTTACACTTTATCCACTCAGGCTGTGTCTACATTGGCAAGATTTTGCGCAAAAATTAGCGCAAAAGCAATATCTTTTGCGCAAAAACTTGCCGCCTGTCTACACCGGCCGCAAGTTCTTGCACAAGAACACTCGCGTTCTGATGTAAGAAATCAGTGCTTCTTGCGCAAGAATTATGATGCTCTTGCTCAGGAATGTTCTTGCGCAAATGTTCTTGCGCAAGAGGCCAGTGTAGACAGGCAGCATGAATTTCTTGCACAAGAAAGACGATGGCTAAAATGGCCAGCGGAGCTTTCTTGTGCAAGAGAGTGTCTACACTGGCATGGATGCTTTTGCGCAGAAGCACATGCCAGTGTAAACGCTCTCTTGCGCAAATACTTAAACGCAAAAACTCTTGCGTTAAAAGTATTTGCGCAAAATCTTGCCAATGTGGACATAGCCAAAGTGCTTTAAATATTCTCAGGATAAAAACAGTTTGAATCAGATCTTCAACTTGTGTAAATTGGTGTTGCTCCATTGGAAACTACTGGCATTATGCCTATTTACACAAGCTGAGACTCTGGGAAAGTGGAGGGGTTCCATCATTAGTTTCATCACCCTTTGCCCATAAACCCAACTGCTATAAACTTAAAGAATGAAATACATGGGGTTTTTTTTTCCCTTTAATTAGAAACACGAAAAGTCATTCAAGCTATATTCTGTCAATTCCTAAAGTAAAAATAATTCCTTTTCCTATGCACAATTCAGTAATTTGACTAGTATACCATGTAAATATTATGAATGTTCAACACACTGTATGTTCAACACACATTTATTTTATCAATTTTCACGTGCAAACGTGAATTAATGCACATGAAAAACAATTATTTCTGTGAAATGCATTTCATATATTAAAAACGGATAACCAACTGAATCCTAAATTTGATACTTGTCAGTGTTATTTTCATAAAGTTACATCATTACAGTTTTGTTCATGTATTTTTTTTATTTCTGTTTGAAATGTAACTGTTGTATTCTACAACTACGTAGCATGTTTTTTGTTTTTTCTGCACTAATTAGTTCCTTTTAGGTATTACAGACAAAGGGCATGTGCGCTGCTTAATTTTCAAAAAATAATATATACTTCATGGAAAACTTTTATTTTACTTCCAATATTTACAAAACAGTATTTTTCCAGCAACTGTATTTTTCCTTTAATAAAAAAACTTGCTGATTACATAGGTTAAAAAATACAAGGAGAAACACTAGAGAAATCTATGTTCTAGCCAAAAACCAAAGTATGAAGGATGGGATTTGCAAGAGTGCTGAGTGTTGAGATATCAATGAAAGTTTAACTATTGGCTTCCGAAAGAACGGTTAGGCTACAATCTTGGAGCTTTTAAAATATCCATCTGAAATTTGCTACCTGTCTTACCATTCTTAAATAAATAGTAAATGCAAAATTTATTTTCCAGGATGAAGTGTTATCTAGAATAGTGATGAGGTAAAGGGGAGTGAAATTACCTCTGGTATCAAGCTCTAGGCTAGTAGATATCTCATGTATTGTCTATCAGCCATATGGGACACCTGTATACCAAGGAAAAGGTTGTGCATGCTAGCCTAATAGCGACCCGGAGAAAGGATCCCAGATTCCTCAACCTGATACCTTGTGCAATGGCCACAGAGGGAGTTAAGACTCTATTTCAATTCTTAGGCTAAATTAACAGCCTCAGAGGTGGCTACTATGGATGATGGATAAGCCACCTTTCAGGGAAGCTACCCCACCAGACCTGCCCCTTCTGCCCACAGCACAAACACACACGCACATACAGCTGGAGCCCCAAAGCTGCCCTACTATCCCACCAGACTGGCCAGAGAAGCCCTGCCCCAGCCACTTCAAGCCACCAGCTAGGCTGAGCCCCAGGCCACAAGCCAGCCCCAACACGGGGCCAAGCCACTGGCCTGAGCATCAGCTGCTGGCAGGCCTGAGCTTCTGTCCACCAGCTGAAGTTGAAACCCAACCAGCTTAATGAAAGAGGGGGAGAGGTGGGGCCTTCGGGGCAAAACATGGGTAGGACCACGGCCTAGTATGGGTAGGGAAGGCATAACTTTCCCTGGCCTTTGATACACACTGCTCATGGGAGCTTTGTGCTTTGGCCATCAGTGAGCAGTTGGATTCACTTTTCTCATCACTGCACTCCACACGCAGGGCCTTGTGTGAGTGAAGTGGGTTTCATACTGGGTGCAGTGCACTGATACACTGGTACTGCATTTAGGAAAAGTCGAATGCAAATACAGTGTTAGTGCTCATTGTATTGCTGTTGGTATTTCACTGTCCCACACAACTTTTAATAGACATGGGCTGGCTATACCAAGACACAGATGGAATGTTGTGTGTGTGCCTATATGAAAATGTAAAAATCTTTTTTGTACTTTTTGTACTTTATTACTGTGTATAACCATGTAAAATAATTACATTTTGCTTTCGGTTGTCACTAAACATAGCAACATTTGTGATTGCCATAGTGTAAACAATCTTAATTACCAATAAAATATTTTAATTGCTTCATTGATGTTCTTTGATCTTTCCTTCTCTACAAACACTCACTTATTAAACTGTTTTTCAATGACACTGATGTTAAAAATCTGTGATTTGTAAGAAAGAGTGAGGTTGTTCCACTAAATGAAGGATGGAAATGGTTAAGACTTGAGTATATGCTGCAAAGCTTTCTAATGTTTATCTGAAAATCAATCATGCCTGTTGTATTCCGTGTATTATTTCTTTTTAATAAAAAATGTCAATTGCACGCTCCTCCTTCATACTCATAAATAGTAACACACTGTCCAGCGTTAGGAACATAGCTTGTCATCTGAAGTGGGTTGTGCTCATGAAAGCTCATGATACCATCTACATGTTTTGTTAGTCTTTAAGGTGCTACTAGACTATTTGTTGTTTTTTAAGTTTTTCCTGTTACAGACTAACTCAGCTACCCCTCTGAAGATTAGGAACATAGGTTGAAATTATAAAAAAAGAAAGTTTTACTTTATTATCCTTGATGGCGTAGCTTCAAGGTGGAAATATAGCATGTAGTTAATATGATGGCAATTAACACTTTTCATATTTTCAGATATTTAGAAATTCCTATGCTCACATATCCTACATTCTGTTTTTATGCACCAATTTGGTTCCCTGTGTTCAAAGTGCAGCCTATTCCATTAATGTTGGTCTTTCCTTCTTCATCTTCCCAGGAATTTAATTTCCTCTATATATGGAACGGATATCACTTCCAGAGGCACTCTTAGAGACCCCTTGGACTAAAATTGTCTACTTCAGTGATAGTCAGACAGCAGTGGTTCAGGAGCCAAATTAGCAATCAAGATTTCCCAAAAGAGCCACAGTAGCACAAATTAATTATTTCATTTACTATCTACTAAATGAAAGTGTGTGTTTGTCTGTTCATGAACTCTGAGACGGTAAGAGCTAGGACCACCAAATTCGGTATACAGATTCCTCTTAAAACTTAAAGCAATGTAAGGTTGTACCATGAAAATGTGATGTGCCTGGAATGGGATTGCTTCTCATAAAACCATACAGAAAAGAGAATCACCAGGAAGGTGAAGGGATGGCTGAGGGTGCGCCCCCTCTCTGCCCTCTGGGAGTCCCAGGGCCGGCTCGAACCATTCCTGCACCCCGGGCAGCAGGCGTGCAATGCATGCGTGGCTCCGCCCCCAGGAGCACAGAGCATGCACGGCCCCGACACCCTGCGCCCCTTAGAGCTGCCATCAGGCACCATGCAGGCCCTGGGCATGCAGCACCTGATGGCAGCTCTAAGGGGCACCACGCGGCCGGGTGCACGGCACCCCTTACAGCTGCCATCAGGCGTCCCCTCCCATAAGTTGGCGCCCCAGGCAGTGGGCGCCCCAGGCAGCTGCCTGGCTACCCCCCCCCTTAATCTGGCCCTGTCTGGGACTGCCCCAACCCCAAGCCTCCTATACCCCAGGTGGCCTTTAGGGAGGGTCCTGGGTCGTCCCCCCCCATTCATTTTAGGACATTGCTGGCTGTTCTCCTTCATCAGGGTGTGAAGGAGAAGTGCACAGTTTGCTGCATTCCTCATTCAGGCTGGGGAGTGCAGGGGGTAGACAAACTGTAAACTTTGCTCTTGCTCCCTGACAGGGACAGAAGGGAAGAGCAAGTAGCCCTGGTATGAATCTCTGGGTGGTGGTGAGACTTTTGCAATCTCTCCTTAGCACCCACACCCACCGTCCCCTGCCCAGACAGCCTCTCCTCACCTCCCAACCCTGACTCCACCCTTCCACATACCCACTTCCTTGCCCTAAGCCCGTCCTTAAGGACCCAAGCAATACCAGGTAAATTATGCTAGTACAGTAAAACTTGCGCTATCCGGAACTTAAGCATCCAGAAAACTGTAGAAACCAGCAAATTTCTGATGCTGGGAAAAACAAAACAAAAAACAAAACAAAAAAAGGAAACTGGCCCTTTAAGTGCCAGGGCCGCTCCTCAGACAACCATGCTGCTCCTCCCTGGAGGAGGAGTGAACGGCAGCTGATAATAAGCATCTCGGCTACCCCCATGACCCAACAGGCCAGCCGCCCCACCGCCCCCCCCCCCCCCACCCCCCCGCCC